TAAGTGGTGGACGACTTGATTGTGGATTGGCGATGGGCTGGCAATTGTGGGTGTACGCTGGGTGGCAGGGATGGGTGGGTGGGGGGCTGGTTGGTGGATAGATGGTGCCTGATCTGGCTTTATTGTATCATAAGGAGACCCTCCCCATTAAATCACATTAAACTCCCTCCCAATTGTCGCATTAAGGCCCCCCCACCCACTCCCCCACTCTGCGTTGTATCCCATTGGGCCCTCCCCAACTGTTACATTGAGTCCCTCTCCTCCCCAATGCATCACATTGTTAAATCGACCCCCCTCCCCTTGTTGTAACGCCTCCCTACGAGTTATATAAGCACCCTCCTCATTGCGTCACATTTGCGCCAGTTCCCACGGGGGCGTGGGTTAGCGCCTGGCACAGCTGTGCTTGTTTGCGGTCCCTGGTACGTTGTTGTTCTGCTCTCGAAGGGGCCGCTTTCTCAGTGGAAAGAACGAAGGTGTGCATCGCAGTAAACACCTGGGTGGATGTGCGTGACACCGGATTGACAAACAGGTGTAGCGGTAACGATAATCCGTTGCACTTGCTGCGACGATGTCCGTGTCGGGGGGGGGGACATCTCAAAGCGAATCACAGCACTTACAACAACAACAAAATTACATTCGTAAAGCGCCTTTCACGTCGGGAGGACGTCCCAAGGCACTGGACGGACAGATTTACGGACCCGAGCTAGGGGTCGGGGTGGGGAAGGGTGGAGGGCAGTGGGGTGGGAGAAGGAGGGAGTTCGAAAGCACGGTCAAAGAGGAGGGTCTTGAAGGTGGCAAGGGAAGGGGGCGAGGCGGAGGGACTGCGGGATGGAGTTCCAGAGGGTGGGGGCAGAGTGGCGCAAGGCCCACCCGCCAATGGTGGGGTGAGCGAGGCGGGGGAGGTGAAGCAGGCTTGCTTCACGACCTCCGATAAAATACACTTTATTTACTGTAAAGTGTAGTGACTGTGTATTTTGTAGGCGATTGCGGTAGCCAATTTGCACACAGCGATGTCACACAAACAGCTATGGAGTGAGTCACCAATTTTGTCATCTGGGGGATTTTTGGCTGGGACAGTGGGAGAGAGAATCTCGCTTCTCTTTCCGAGAAGCGACCGGAGACTTCTAAAATCCTATCTGAACAGGACCTTGGTCTCACCAGAAGGACGGCGCCTCCGACAATTATGTACAAGTTGTGTTGTTGTTCCATCACTGCACTGCACTGGAACGTCAACTACATGGGGCACAGTGAGAGATAACCCGATCACACTACCACCAGCAACAAATTACATGTGTAGAGCACCTTTCATGTCAGGAGGACTCCCCAAGGCGCTGGACAGTCAAGGTTGTACACCCAAGTTGGGGGGGGGGGGCGGGGGATGGGGGTGGGTGGGTGGGGGTAGGATCAGGAGGAGTTGGGAGGGCAGAGAGCGTAAGAGTTTGGAGGGTGACCGGAAGGGCGGTCAAAGAGGAGGGTGTTGAGGCGGGCCTTGAGGGAGGCAAGGGAGTGGAGAGGGGGCGGCGAGGCAAGGGGAACTGTGGGATGAAGTTCCAAAAGATGAGGGCAAAGAGGCTGAAGGCGCTATCTCAAATGCAAGGATTATTATTATTATAATTATCAAGCTGTTAGCTTAAATGAGTCCTGGTGTCCTGGTTTCAACAACAGCTCCGTGGCAGCCTGTTCCAATCGTTAATTACCCTCTGGGTATAGAAATACTTGCCGATAACCTCTGTCCAGAAATTGCGACTTTGCGGCTCTAACCCCGTGTCGTCTTGTTCCCCTCTCTCGTAACGTTCGAAAATATTGTTCTGTGGCGTTCTGTTTGTTGTCATTTTTTCCCAAGAAGGAAGGCAGGTGCCTCGCTTGGGGAACAGTAGGAAACAAGTTCCCACGATTGAATCTCGGGCCTTGAATTGCTGAAATATCGGGTTTTATTTCAACTGCGTGTTGTTTTACAGGGAGCCAGCCAGCTCCCGTGCGTGTTATTGAATATTTATTTGCTTTATGGCTGCCCTGGGATCTGTTCATTGCCTCGGTTGCCGTTGCATGTAAAGATGCTGAAAATGAGCTTGATGTACATTTGAGGTTTATTTAAAGCTCTGCCATTGATCTGTGTGTCAGCCTGGCACACCGGTAGCGCTCTCGCCTCTGATTGCGGGCCCGAGCCCCAACATCGGGGACTTGGAGTCACATAGTCTAAGCTGACGCTCCCATGTAGCGCTGGGGTGGGGAGGAGGGGGCTGTGGCATTGTCAGAGGTGCCATCCTTTGGATAAAACGTTAAACCAAGGTCCGGCCTTTGCCTGTTCGGGTGGTTGTCAAAGATGCCGTGGCGCTATTTGAAAAGAGTTTCTCTAACCAGTCTCCTGGCTGGCAATCCCCCAAATAAAATGGGTCATTTACATCTTGGCTGTTTGTGGGAAATCGCTCGGCGCAAATTGCCTGCTGCATTACCTTACAGAAGGCACGCAGTCCCTGCACTTTACGGCATATCCTGTCAAGAGCTTTCACACGTCTGCCCGGCACAAAACGGCGATGTATCAAACGTAGGGATTGTGATTATTGATATGGTTTTATCAACGGGAAGTGATTGTCCGTGAGTGAAAAAAGCTTCTGTCACTTTATTGACGACCGCCTACTAATACTTAGGATTGACAAGCTGAGATCTAACCGGCCCCTTGAATTGATAATTACCAGTGATCATTGACTGAAGTCTGATCTGCTGGTTAACGTGCAGAACAATGTTTTGCTAAATGATAAGAGTGGCTCATGTATTGCGACGATCCTCTGGTTACTATGGAACGCTGTTTACCGCAGCTCCAACGCAGAGCGTTGCATTGCTGGAGGCGCTGTCCTCCAACTGAGACGTTAAACCGAGGTCCCATCCACTTATTTTGGTGGATATTAAAGATCCCACGGCTCTATTCGAAAAGAGAAGGGAGTTTCTTTCTCCCGGCGTCCTGGCTGACAACTCCCATCCCCCACCCCACCCCCCGATGAAATTGGTCACTCGTTTCATGAGCTGATTGTGGGATATTGCCGTGTGCAAATTGGCTGACGTGTTTACCGGCAAATGCAGTCACTGCACTTCACAAAATCCTGAGGAGCGCTTTGAGACGTCTTGATTATTTCTTTCCTGCTTGCTTTTCTTTCTTTCGCTTTATTTCTCTGTCTCTCCCTCGCTTTGTTTCTTTGTTTGTTTTTTTGATCTCTTTCCGTTCTACCCATCCTTCCCCCACCCCATCAGCCACCCCCCCCCACCCACCAACCCCCCGCTTCTAAATGAGATGATTTCTGCGTTGATTCCCTACCTCGAGGGTTTACACTCATTTCCCGGAGCTGCCCATAATTCTGCAGTAATTGGTACCAAATTGACAATCTGACTCCAATAAGGCAAAGAAAGATTGCAGCAAACCTATTTCTGTTTGCCTTGGAGGAACAATCTATGTACCATGCTCCTCCTACATACTTCATCCTCTGATTGCTAACGTATTTGGTGTAGCACTGAGAGATGCTTCACATACCCAGGTTGCAGATGTTCTCTGGCTTGTATTACCCAGTCAGGTTTCTTTGGCACAATTCAATCACCTTCCGATGCGCTCACATTCCCGAGCTCTTGACGAAGAACTGGATTGGGCGACTGAGCTGGGACACTGTCAACCAGTGCTGGCTCGATCAGCAGTGATCCTCGGCTGCTCTGGGTCGGAAGGTTATTGATGTGAATAACAATATTATTAATAATAATAATAATCCTTGCATTTGACGGAAATGAAACAGATTTCATTTAGACTCGGCTTAACCATTTCCTCCGGCTCTTTGATGTCATCATCACCATAATAATAATAACCCTTGCATTTGATATAGCGTTTTATCACGTCGTCGAGACGCCTCACGTCACTTCACAGGATTTTCTGTAAAATAGAGTGACTGTGTACTTGTGGGCAAAGCAGCGGGCCACAAACAGCCGTGGAGTGAGTGACCAATTTTATTTGGGGGATTGTTGGCCAGGACACCGGGAGATAGAAGCTCTCTTCTCTTTTCGAGTCATGACATGGGAACTTTAACGTCCACCTGAACAGGCAGAGGGAACCTTGGTTATACACCCCGTCCGCAAGACGGCACCTCTGTCGATACAACGCGCCCCATTGGATTCTAACACAACCTTAGACTATCCCAGGGCCTGACGGGGGCTTGAACCCACATCCTTTTGAGTCAGAGGAGAGGATGCTACCACTGTGCCAGGCTGACACACATCATCGCAAGTTGTTGATGTCTTATGTGGCTTCACGGGATGTAACATGGGGACGATGATGGGATTTCATATAGTCAAGCAAGCGAGTTGTTCGGATCTGAAATGCATAGCCTGAAAGGCTGGTGGAAGCCGATTCGATCACAACTTTTAAGAGAGAAGTAGATAATTATTTAGGAGGACAAGTTTGCGGGGCCATGGGGAGAGCGCGGGGGAGTGGGATGGATTTGGATAGCTCTTTTCGAAGAGTCGGGACAGACACGATGGGCCGAAGGGCCTCCTTCTGTGCTGCCTAATTCTATGATTCTATGTGAAGTCCTGTAGCTCAGTGGTTGGAGCACTCGTCTCGCAAGCGAGAGACCTGGGTTCTATTCCGGCAGGGCGAAACGTTGGGCAAGTTTCCTTATTCCACACGTCTCTGTTTACCCAGCAAAAAGTAGGAACCAGGTTGTTAAAGCGGATCGCTTTACCGGGGATAATAATCCCTAAAAAAAATAATTTGCTCACTCAATCCATGACTGTTTGTGGGACACTGCTGTGCGCAAACGTCTGTCGTGTTTTGCCCTACAAAGTATACAGTCAATTCATTTCTTACAGTATATTCTGTGAAGTTCTTTGAGACTGTCTTGAAGATGTGGTGAGGCGCTGTATCAAATGCAAGCGTCACTGCTATTCTTAGTAGTAGTTAACGTGAGGGTGATGGGGGGATTTCTTGTAGTCAAGCAAGTGACAGAAACTCTTTCTCTTTTCAGTTGCCGGTGAAGATCTGCGGTCCAGCTTATATTTCGTCAATGCATCTTTGCAAGAGGTAGTGTTTGCCAGCACCATTGGGACACTGGTACCATGCCCTGCATCAGGGCGTCCCCTAGCCACCCTGCGCTGGTACCTAGCAACGGGGGAAGAGATGTACGACGTCCCAGGGATACGCCACGTCCATCCGAACGGCACTCTCCAGATCTTCCCCTTCCCTCCTTCAAGCTTTAATAACTTGATCCACGACAATTCGTACTATTGCACAGCAGAAAATCCTTCAGGGAAAATTAGAAGCCAGGACATCCACATTAAGGCCGGTGAGTGATGCGTAGAACAAAAACAGGCATCGGGGGAGGGGATGGTGGGAGGGGGCGGAAGAGAAGTGCGGGCGGGTGGAGGAGGAGCATTGTGACCAATGGCCTCCTCCTGATCCTCCGTTGCCCTCCTTCAATGGCCTCTTCCAATAGCCTCTTGCAATGGTTCCCCCAATGGTCTCTCCCGATGGATGAAGCCTCACTCACATCCTGCAAATAAGCCGTGGGTGTGGGGATGATGGTGGGTTAAGAGGAGGGTAAGTGAGGATGATGGTGGGTTAAGAGGAGGGTAAGTGGGGGAAAGGTGTGCGGTATGAGGTTATAAGAAATGGCTGTACTCTACTCACTAACACCATTGTTGTGTGTGTGTGTGTGTGTGTGTGCTTTTGTGTGCTTGTGTGTATTTGTGTGTGTTGTGTCTGTGTGTGTGTGAATGTGTTTGTGTATATGGTGCGTGTCTATGTTTGTCTATGTGTTTCTGTGTGTGTGTATGTGTCTGCGTGAATGTGTGTGTGTGTGTCTGTGTGTTCTCTTTCCCAGTACTAAGGGAGCCCTATACGGTCCGAGTGGAGGACCAGAAAGCCATGAGAGGGAATGTAGCGGTCTTCAAGTGCATTATTCCCTCCTCAGTGGAAGTTTACATCACTGTAGTGTCATGGGAGAAAGACACCGTCTCACTCGTCTCAGGTAAAGTCGCTTTCCTTCTCTTTAAATCATCACGCGGTGGGTGGGGGTGGGACAGCAGAGTCATATTGGTGGGAATGGTGGATGAGATGGTGTGGGGTGGGGTTAATTGTGGCGGTTGAAAGGACATCTGGCTTGTGGGTCCTTAGGTCAAGCCGTTTCTTAGTCACTATTCAGCCTCCAAAAGCCGCCTCTGTTGAAACTGAAGGACTGTGCTCTCTCACCCTTCGACTTACATGTGATATCCACCACTGTACAAGACTTCAATGAGCTGTTGTGGCTTTGGGAGCCGAGGGGGTTGGAGGGTGGGGGGGGGGCGCGGGAGGGGTGGAGGGGAATTTAATTTTGCAAAGGGATCTGGAGCTTTGCTCATTTAAAGGTCTACCCAGGACAGCCTCGGAGAGGACCTGAAATTCCACCTCGTCTTAGGCTGCGATTCAATTCCAATTCCATCCTAAAATCGAGGAATTCTGTGCCAATCCCTTAAAACCTGCTGAATTTGTAAACTGCTTGGCGCTGATCTTTGTTGGGTTTCCAATTTTGGTAAAACGTCTGACAAAAGCTGAGGCAGGTGAATGGTGGAAGAGAGAGGGGAGAGGGGTCGGGGTGGGGATTAATTTTGAAAGGATTCGGGAACACATCCCATGAGGTTCGGGTAGGTGAGGGTTTTTTGACTCGGTGTGCACCGTTGGACTCTGCAGTCACGTGTGAACGACGTTACATCTGCACAAATTGCTGTGTTCTCCGCTCTATTCTGGATGGTGTAAGGAAACCTTGTGTCTGCGGTTTAATCATCGATGAAATAGTGTGCGCCCGATTCGGATGCGGAACAATTGTTTCGTTTATGTTAAGTTCCGCAGTCAATGATTTACACAAAGGGTAGAGAAAGGCACGCCATCGCAAGGCGCGATAATGAGAGCAACCAGGTTATCAGAGAATTAAAGTATTGATCGGTTAACTACCCCTGGGAGAGCCGCAGGGAGAGCTGAGAGTCAAGTCAGATCTGCATCTCATTGTTCTTGGCTGAACCCTCTATATTTATACCTGTTAGTTACTGTGTAAAGCCCAGACCAATCAAATAGTGAATAGACCCTTTTGTGGTGAAAGCTCATAGGCCCGATACTGTAGGAGGTCATGTTTACCAGCAGCGTTTAGGCCGCTAGGTGTCAATGTGACGGACGGCAACTAAAATATTGTCTTGCAAGTGCTCTCTCCACTTCTCCTTATCAGAAGGCACATGCCCGGTGAAAACATAGTCGAGGCCTATGGTGTTTCCCTGCATCAATTCATGTTAACTCTTACAACGGGGAGGGGTTGGGGTGGGAAGGGGTTGTTCGGGGGTCTTATTGCAGGGAGAGGTGGTGCTGACTGGCGCACAGAGAAGGGTTTGTGAAGGATCTTAAGGGAGAACAGGTGCGACGCAGCAGTAAACGACAGAACAAATCGCTCAGTTGCCGTAAAATGGTCAGCATTGTTCTGTGAGTTGCGTTCACTTTGTGTGTGTGTGTGTGTATATTTTTTTTGGGGGGGGGGCGGTCAGTCAGTTATCGGACACATGTGGAAACCCATCACCATGATTAAGAGTATCCAAACCAAACTAAGATTTCCATGCATCCCACCTACACATGGAAACCCCAGCAAAAGATTATTGAAGTGGAATGTGCACTCTCTGTCAGTGACACTGTGTGTGTGTATGTGTGTGTGTGGGGGGGGGCTTGATTAATTGGCCTTATCCATGGCTCTATTGAGGCCTTGTAAGTCTCCCTGGAGGAACGGCTTGAACTGAGCTTGTGTCAAGGCATGCCCTTTCAGGCCTTATTAAAGGTCACAGGGCAGGAAGACTAATGGCACGTGTTGTGCAAATCAATGAGATGTAAGTAGGGTCTGATGTATTCACCATTTACGTGCATTTCACTGAATTAAATACTGGGGGTGGGGGTGTTGGTGGGGAGATTGTGTCGGTGAAGGTTCTGTGCTTGTTTCCTTCCTCCAGAACTGTCTGTTTCCTTGATGGATTTTTGTGTGATAATTAACACTTTGTGTGATGGTTTGATGTGATGATTAATCAATTCTGTAGAGTAGTGGTTAGCGCACTCGCCGAATGAACGAGAAGACTCGGGTTTATTTCCATGGCAAGGGCGAAACCTTGGGCAAGTTTCCTTACTCCACACGCCTAATAATAATCCCTCCAAAAACCCAAAACAATAATAAATTGGTCATTTTCAATCTACGACTGTTTGTGGGACATTGCTGTGCGCAATTGGCTGCCGCGTTCGCCAACAAATATACAGTCAATTCACTTTACAGTATATTCTGTGAAGCGCTTTGGGACGTCCTCCCGACGTGAAAAGCGCTATATCAAATGCAAGGATTATTATTATTATTATTATTATTATTATTATGTCTGTTTACCTTGCAGTAAGCAGGAATCCGGTTGTCAGTCGATTGGTGGATTGCTTTCCAGGGGTAATAATCCCTCCAAAAAGAAAACATTTCATCATTCAATCCACGACGGTTTGTGGGACACTGATGTGCGCATTTGGCTGTAACGTTTCACCCACAAAATACACAGTCAATCCACTCTATACAATTCAAGCACTTGGGATTCTATGCTGTGTGAGGGGCGCGAGAAAAATGTTGCTGTTATTTACGATTAACCACACAAAACACTTTGAGATGCCTCAACGACTCGATAAGGCGCCACATCAAATGCAAGGGTTACTATTATATTATTATAAGAAGTCAATAATCCCTGACATATGACACAGCACCTTTCGCCTCAGGAAAGATGTTGACAGAGCTCCTCACTGGATTTCAATGTAAAGTGTAGCGACACGTGTGTGACCGTGCCACTGGTCACCTCCACTTCCCCCTCGTTCGGCGTCCAACCTCGCCGGTGCGAAGCGCTCCCAGGCGCTGTCCTGCCTGAGCGAAGCTGTACAAATGAGAGTTCTTGCTTTGGAAGTCGAACGTGGAAGCCAATTGTTTGCACAGAACATCCATGAAGCGCATGACTAATATTTTCTCTCTCACTCTCTCTGGGGGAATTGTTGGACAGGAACAAAATTACGCATGAAATCATAATTTGGAGCAGTGTATTGTATCTGAAGTGCGCGCTGGTACACATTGGTTTTAAAGGGAGCCATTTGAATGGGTTTCACAAAATAGCTTTGCTAAAACATTCGGACACTTTGTTTTGCTGCCAGTTTTGCTCATCCAGTGTCCTCCTCTTCACCCCTGAAGGTGTCTGACAGGAGAGAAGTTGGCAGATAAGAAAGAAAGAGGCAAACCCCACCCTCTCTGTTTGGTCCGTAGGAACCTTCTAGTATGCCCTCCCTACCATCTTCCCTTTGCAGCATCCACCAAGCCCTCCACGGCCTTGCTTAGTAATAATCCCACCAAGATAATAGATCACGCTACCTCTGTGTCTGCTAACTCCATATCGAATTGTCTGTTCCCTCCGCTCAGGAGGCTCTGGCCTGCTCCATCGTCCCCCACCATCGGCGGTCAAGTCTTCAGCCTCTCCACCCCCACCCTTTGGAACTCCATCCCACCGTCCCTTCGCCTTGCTCCCTCCCTTGCCTCCTTCAAGGCACGTCTCAAGACCCTCCTCTTCGACCACGCCTTCGGTCACCCGACTAGCCCTATCCTCCCTGCCCTCCATTCTCCCTGATCCCAACCTCCTGCCTCCTGCATGGGTCCAAATCCCTGACTGTCCAGCACTTTGGGACTTCCTCCCAAAATTTGTTGTTGTTCCTTAAATGAGTGACTTCCTGATCACCCACCTTCTAGAGGCTCTAATAATGATAACAACAATAATAATAAGCATATGTGTATTTGATATAGCGCCTTATCACTCGGTTGATACGTGTCAAAGTGTGTGGAGTGAGGAAATTCGCCTGAGGCCGGGAATCAAACCTGGGTCCTCTCGCTTGCGAGGCGAGTGCCCTAACCACTAGGCTACAGGACTCCACGATGGATAACTAAGGCCTCCAGGGCATAGTGATGGCAGTGAAGAGGCCGAGCAATGAGTGCGTGTGTCGGAGTCTGCTGGGAGCTGTACCAAGGCACTAAACTTCATAAGATATTATGTCCATACTTTGCTTCCATGATATCCTATTCCTTTGCTGACAGAGATTGAATAGCTATAAAAAGGCTTAAGTGGGCATCAGTAAGTGGGCAATATTAAACCATCCCTCCATTCCCAGGCCAGAAGCACAGGGCGGCATAGGGTACACAGGGTAAAGTGCAGTGACCTTGTATTTCCTGGGCTAACACAGCAGCCAATTTGCGCCCAGCAATGTCGCACAAACAGCCATGATCAATTTGATCCTGGGGGAATGGTTGGCCAGGACACCGGGAGAGAGTGATAGTGCCGAGGGATTCTTAACGTCCACCTGACCAGGGCACAGTCAGGATCTCGGTTTATAAAGTCTCATCCAACTCCGCAGCCACCCTCCCACCCCTGGGGCCTGGAAAGTCAGCCTGGACTGTGAGCTTCAAGTCCACACGGTGGTGGAAATTCCAGCCTGTCCTCGCATTTGACATGGCGTCGTCGTGACGTCTCAAAGCGCCTCACAGGATATACTGTAAAGTGGATTGACTGTGCATTTTGTTGGCAACACATGGCCACCACTTTGATGAGCACAGCAGTGTCCCACAGACAGCCGTGACGATACGAACCCATTTTATTCAGGGGATTGTTGGAGACATAGACAAACTCCCTTCTCTTTTCCGATAGCGCCGCGGGACCTTTAACATCCACCTGAACACGTACAGACGGGACCTCGGTTTAGCGTCTCCTCTGAAGGACGGGATCTCTGATAATGCAACACCCCTCACGCCCAGCGCTGCATTGGAGCGTCAGCTTAGATTATGTGATTCCAAGTCCTGACCGACTTGGGGCTTGAACGCACGACCTTCTGACTCAGAGGCAAGAGAGCGCTGCCATTGAGCCAGGCTGACACACAGAGTGTTTCAGACCATACAGAATTTGGCAAATG